AGAGAAAGTTATTTTTTCATTGTGTCTTAGGATTTCATGTATTCATGTCATGTGTCGGATGCATATGTCTTAGTTTTCAGGTTTTCATACTACATGCTCTTAAAATCTCCAAGTCGTATCTATTCATGTTTTCCATCTCATACTTCAAGATAATCTTGTCATATGTGTATTGCTTTTTCATATACTCTTGTGGGACTAATAGTTGTTTTGGAGATTGTGGCACTAATAACTGTTTTGCAGATCATGACCTTGAGAAAGAAGTTGGCTTTTGTTGGTTGTAATGGATTGGGGTGTTTAGGATTTTATTTGTTAGGTGGGTTTTGTCACGGCGTTGCCAAAGGGGGAGATTGTTTGGTTTTTATTCTTGGCAATTCCGTTTGACAAAACTCCTTTCAGTTGTACTTGTTTTCGCACTTTTATTTCAGTGAGGCTATGAGTTTGTTAGATGCGAATCCAACCCGACCTTGCAGAGAAGTTTGTGATGTTAATACTTTCAAGATTACCACTTCGTTGATTATGATGAGGATCGAGCTGCCAGGTCAACTCACGGGGGTCCAAGAGGGAGCGCCCCTTGACGGGTTCGACGCAGCGCCCAGGCAGGGTCGAGGGGCAACGCCCCCAAAGCAAAATGAAAAATTACATTCGAAGTTGCATGTCCGCCCTTGCTCGCTCGAGCGAAAGAGTGCTCGCTCGAGCAAAGGCTGCGTTTGTGTAAAAACCTGAAAGAGATGAATGTACGCTCGAGCGAAGGGTGCGTGGCTCGAGCGAAGCCACTTATGGAAAACACGCGTTTTTGATTCCTCGCTCGAGTGAGAGAGTCTTCGCTCGAGCGAACTTCGAAGTCCCAGATTTCTATAAGTATTTGTTTCAGTCCAAAACTAGGATTGCTGCTCCAGATCTTCTTTTTGGATATTAAGGTTTATATCTGGAGATATTTTGCTAGTTTTCTTTGATGTTTAATTGAGTATTCAACTCATGGGTTAAGAAGAATACATCAAAGGTTTGTTTGTTCATTCTATACAAAAGAGAGAGTTGTTCTTCGGTGGATTCTGAAGAATTTGAGACTGAAGTTTTGGTGGATTCTGGATTGGCTCATCGTCAAGACAATTCCGAGGTGAAGACGGGGTTGGAAGAGGCACATAGGGGTTAGTTCAATTCAGGCGTGGATTCGCTAAGTAATTGAGAGTATACCTGTGTAATTCCTTTATGTTTTTTTAGTGGATTGTTTTGTGGCTTTTGCCCGTGGTTTTTTTATCACAATTGGATATGTCCAATTGTGATTTTTCTACGTAAAATCGTTGTGTGGATTTGTCTTGATTGTTTGATTGGGATTGTTGTTTACTGCTTAAAATTGATACATAATCACAAATCAACATCTAGGGGATTTCTAGATTTTTCACTTTTGTATAGCCACGAGCTTAAATTGTATTGAGCTAGGCTCATATTTCTGTAACCAAGCCACAACTTGGAAAGATGTAAGCCGATAGGGCATATGATTATATGTTTAGTTTCAATCCTCTCAACATTGTAATACATGCTATAGATTCAGGATGAACATTTGTGAATGTATATATCGCATGCGTTAACTTTTGTAATCGAACTCCAATGAATGAATGCACCTCATTTCTATTATTTTTCCGCTTATGAATTGGATTTATTGTATTATTTTGGGGGTGTTACATATGTATATACAATTCAAGAACCCATTTAATTAGAGAAAAAAATAGATCACGATCACAATCACAATCACAGTGTTATTGAATTTTTACTTATAGTACCATGTTTGCTATTTCCTTCGTTGACCTTTTTCAGACGATTTCCACAGACGGGGCCAATTGTGAGACTAGGAAAATCCACTCACATGGATTGTAGAGATCCAACGAAGAGATGAGCTTTGCCCCCTGTAGATCTGCATAGATGAGCATAGTCGGCGCCACCCAATCGGGTTGTCGGCCGGAGACACTCCGATGATAAAGTTAGCCACTGGAATTAGAGAAGGAAGATGAAGAAAATGAAGAGTGTTTGTGTGCTGTCTAGCAGAGAGATGAGACATACATTCATTCCATGGGATGCCCTTTTTTTATATATGGGGGTGTGATATTTACTTGATGGGCTCCCTTGTTTGGGTTGGGCCCATTATTAATAAGGTAGTATTTTTTGGCCCACCACATTACATATCTTCATTTGTCCAACTAGAAACTCTACAACCAAAAAAGTCTTTGGCAACATACTCGTTTTGTCTCCAAACATCAATTTTTTGTCACCAAGGTGATCTATGGCGAAATAATTTTGTCACCACGTTTGTCGCCTATACGTTGTCGCTGAAAGTACTTGGAGACGAAAAATCGTTTCGTCGCCTATTTTTCATTTTTGGCGACGAAATTTTTCATCTCTAAATGTTGCATTTTTCATCTCTAATATGGTGCCCAAATTTTCCACCAAAAATTCCAAGGGCGGGAATTTTTTTGCGATGAAAAATAAAATTTAGAGATGAAAAAAAATTTCGTCACCTATTATTTTATTTATTTTAAGCATTTGGTGACGAAATTTTGTTTTCGCCTCTAAAAATAGTACAATTGGAGACAAAATCTTATTTTCATCACTAAAATATATATATTTGGAGACGAAATATTTTTTTTATCATGCGTTTTCGTCACCATAGACCTTTTTTAAAATTGTCGATTTCATAGATTGATCTTGCGAAAATTATAAGTTTGCTAAGTAATTTGCATTACCAACAGGGATGGACCATAGTATAGACTATAGGGGGCTGCGACCCCTCTGTCTTTGAGACTATCCTGTTACTTGCAATGGTTTAGAATAGAGCACTGAATTTTTTTTTTTTTTTGCATGGCCCCTTTCCATTTCGTGTCTTCAAGAGCAAATGTTTAACCAATATGACACGGGTTTGAAGGAAATTGAAATTGAATATAATATATTTAGAGCACTACTATAAATATAATTTACTTTAACAATTGAATCTATTTTGTGCAATATTTGAAGTGTGTTGTTTGATTCTTATTAACTAGTTAAGGGCATCCACAATGGATGTGTTAAAATTGTGTGTTAAAGTGTGTTATATGACAAAAAGTGTTAAAAGTAGGACCCAAAAATATGTGTTAAGAGTTTGTTAATTTAGTGAGTGAATAGTGAATGAATAGTAGTACAATGGATGTGTTAAGGTGTGTGTTAAATATATATATATATATATATATGTGTGTATATAATAAATAAAATTAATATTTAGTGTTTTTAATTTAAATTATATATTAAATATAAATTATAAATTATAAATTAAATTAAATTAAAAAATAAATTATAAATTATGGCCTTATAAATTAAAAAATT